GGGTTTTATTATTAGCATAGCAGTCTGTTTTGCCCTTCAGATGTTTGTTTCACTACACTAACACAATGAAAGAGGACTAGTTTTCCAGACTTTTTATTTACATTAGAGAAATGTGAAGATTGAGAATTATCAATAAAAGATTATGGGAAGGAAATACTGTGTCTGCTGCAAAATCTGAAGTTTAGCTCAGCCTTTCCATAACCATGTGCTTACCCACTAAAGACTTTGAAAAAGGTTATTGTAAAGTCAAGGATCTTAAAGTTTCGGTATTTTATTATTTGCTCATATTTAAACACTTTGCTTCACTTTTTTTAAAGTTTTAAAGTGCCTTAGAGTACMTGCATTGTTCTTTTCATGCTCTGTATTACTTTGTAAATGGTTCTACAGTTTCATATGAAGCATCGCCATCCAACTACCATTAATTCTGGCACTTCAGGTGATCAAAAGCATCTTTCCCTATATTGTACTGCTACTCTTTTTTTGGTCCTGAATATACTGCACTTGTAGAAACTGAGCAATTTATGAAACAGTATTATATTGCAATAGCTTCCACTTTTCATTTTTAATGCCTTTAAAAATTCTATTTTTTCCCCCCTCTTGTTAGTGCTGTTTTGGTTACTGCTATTCACTTGGTTAATTGTCAGTGACTTATATATATTTCTAGATGAGCAACAATATGTGGCTGGTTTTAATTTATTTTTCCGTGCCTTTATCAGATTATACAACTGTAGGAATAGTGCTTACATTTCCATGCCAGCAGCAAGAAAAGCAGGTTTTCTCATACTGCCTGAACTGGGGTTCATAAYAGTACAAAATTGCAGAAGTTGTTACAGAAATACATCTGTAATGCTGTGCTTGTATTSTGGCAGGTACATTCCCTAGGAACAGCAGCTACTTGGGTCTAGGAGCTGCAGGATCCCTGCTTTTTGGTTGCTGTCACAATTACTATGCTCTTAACTTCCCATTAATTGAGCTTTAATGCTATGTGCCATTGGTTTAGAATTCCCTTCTTCAGCTCTTTGAAATTCTTCTTCCTTGGTATTTTCCATTGGTTCTCCTTGTAGTATACATCCTGACATTCTTTTTGCTGCTACCTGTTTAAAGTTTCCCAGTTCTAAGTCAAGTTCTGGGCTGTGTRAGAGAACAGCAAAGGGAAGCAGCATATCTGATAGGCAGCTCGAAATCAAAAGGGTGGTGTGTCACACAAGGTGAAATTTATTGTAAGACTTAGGTTTAAACAGCAACTCTTTTTTCATCTGCCTAAGTTTTTATAAATGAGTATGTGTAGCTCTTTGTGTGATCTGAAGTTTGTTGGAACAGGTTTGTTTCCAGCTGTCTTGCACCCAAGACCAAATTTTCAGTGAACCTGCAGCATCCATAAAATGTAGTTTTTGTAGAACAAAGCATAAGGAATATGCCATCTGTTTAGCTTTCGAGAAAATTAACCTTGATTAGCTTTCGAAATCTAAACATGAAAAATATTAGGCATGTCTAGCTAGTGATTTGTCTGTTTAAACTGTCCTCTACAGATGTGCCCTTTTTCAYTGACTGCAGGCATTGTCAAGATTTAAGTTAAGCTTGATGGTTAACTTGGCTAACTGAAAATTAAGTGAGGTAAATCCTGCACTAATTGGTTTCAGTATTGGTGAGATAGGGTAGGGTAGTTGATGTGAGGATCACATTTTGTTTCTGATGCAGGTTTTGTAGTCTGTTTTGAGGACTACCCCATTTGTGATTCARTTGTAGTATGTTAATATGAGAAAAGAGATTATGGCCTAAAACCAATAAGCTSACTTGATTACCGAGGAATAAGAAGACATAAAATTGCTAATCAAGAATAGTAATACAGGTGATACAAGATGAGAATAATTCTACAGCTGGTTTGAAAGACTCCAAAGTAATAACAGAATTTGTAATACAGCTTTGAGGAAASTTGCTAACCTTAAGTAGAGTTTTAAAGGTAGAACTGGGATGTGTAACTGTAGATAACTTACATAAGCTGGTCCTCTGATTTAGAGATAAGCTTGAAGCTCTGCATTAATCTTAGCCACAATTCCTGTGACAAGGAAATTCCTATCCCAACAATAGTGGGATAGGAATTTCTTCCTGATTGATCTTGAAATTGGTTTTGTGTGATAGTACTTTAAATATTTTTATGAAGTATGKCCAGGCTTCTAGTTTGTTTTACTGTAGTAATTAGAATCATGCCATTGCTATCACAATAATGTGACCTAGCACATCTGAACAGTTAAGTTATGCTGATTCGTAGTAGCTATTTCATTTTGAGCAATAGTCATACAAAACAACTTCCAATTATCCTATCCAGTCTGAAATTCCTAGGAAAAAAACCTAACACTTTACTTGTACTTACAATACACCTTGTAACACGAAGTAGTCACTTTGCCTGTGAGGCAAGACTGTCTCCTAAAAGAACMTGAAAGGGTTGTGCATGTTGTGGAACTCTTCCTGTGTGCTCCTCRGACAGTATGCTGACACCATGAAGAGACAGATTCATTAAATATAAGCTTTGCCCCCCTCTCTATCATGCAAATGTATATTCCACCTCCAGGTCTGTTCATTTGAATGAATTACAAGTACACACATATTATGGCATGAGTTTACTATATGAAGTTAGGATGGAATACTGTTGGAMTGTAATCACTTACTTGAGTTTAAATCACTTCTAAAATCATGCACTTTTATTTTGCCTTTCTGCATGTTATGACTCTAATGATGCAGTGCCTGGTATTACTGGTGCCTTGTATTTACTCCCCATGCAGGTGGACCTCACAGTKCAAGAAAAGGAGAAATACCTTAATGTGTCTCGTTGGTTCAACCACATTCAGCATTACCCAGGTGTTCGACAACATCTGTCCAACGTCGTCTTTATCAAGAACAGATTATACACTAATGCTCATTAAGGCAAATCTTAATGTCGTGTTGGAATGAGATGTGGGAGTTTAGAAGTTGTACTGTCCAAAGCCACTAACTTGCAAATACTGTTTTGTAACCTGTATGTGAACCAAAACTGTCCATGCCTCAAATAATACAACTGCATTGAATCGCTGTTGTTCATTCAAGAATTTGAATAAAAGAATTGTTACTGTGTATCTGATTAAATGCAAAAATGGTAGAAAGATGGAAATGGAGTTTTGATTCACTATGTAAAAAAAAAATTGAAGTTCCTTTAATTAAACATTCAAATGAAATTACAYGATCTTTATCATCAACGATTCACTCCTGTTGCTATTTATTGAATTTTTATGTATGTCGACCAGCTTTCCTTTCATTTTGTTTTTCATGGATGTTTACACTAGTTTTGTACAAGTTAAGAGCTATATTGTGTGCCAAGGATGTGAAAAAGGGAACATGCAACTATTACAAAGTATTTATGTGACTGAATAAATTATTTTGAAACTGTAGTCYTAATTTGGCTGTGAAACTTTCTAGTTTTTCTTCAGTAAAGAAGACTTTAAAAGGTCAGTGCACTTCCTGCTTCATTTTGGGTGTACTGTTTTGATTCTAGAATCATTTTGTTTTCAAACTGGGTAGCAAAGTTAGTGTTTTTAAAGATTCTATGTGTGCCTCACTTCATATTTTACACAAGTGCARATGCACTTTTCCCAGCCCCCAACAAAGCCAGTCAAAACTCAAGATAGTTTGCTGCTCAAGTTCACTAGCAATGATTAAAGTTGAATTTAAAACCAGATACACTTTTGTTGAGTCACACATTTGGATGGGTCATTTACTGTAGAATGATGTCCTCTGATTTTTATTTCTAACAAATATAATAATGCTAACTTGAATTGGTTCATTACCATCTGTACAATTCAGTTAACATTTAAGACATGAAAGAAATGCAAAAATACTTTGAGATTTTAATTGATAAATTAACTTCTGTGTTGGTTTCTACAGCAGTGCTTAGCAGACAGTTTCACTTGTACATTCTTTTATGTGCAATTTAGAAGCCTCTCAGTGAATATAAAAAAGGTATTTGGATAGATGTTTGAGTATTTTGAATGTTAAAAGAGTCCTTTAAAAAAAAAAGTAAGCAGATAATGAGATGAGGTAATTAAAATATATYCTGACCCATCCAGATACATACCCTGATCCAGAAGAATACTGCAAGGATAAGCATAACCTGGACAATTCCAGGTTCTAATAGGTGTTTTCTCTGGATTATGTGTCTAGATCTCTGGATTACGTGTCTAGACATGTAATTTTATTTTTAATTCTTTTACTGACAATTGACAGGCACACCCAGTTACTTTGGGGCAAAAATTTCAGAAATTTTTCACTGTTTCCAGGGGCTTARTTCTCCATTTTTACCATKTCTYCTATTAGCTACTCTTGKTCCTTGCTATTTAGAAGCTTACTTTATGTACTTACAAGGWYCTGTCTGCAATCTTGAGTTCTGTTCAAGAGTTGTGGAGTAGGCATGAGTTTAAATGTACGTTAGAAAGACCATGCTTAAAGCTTTTCATATTCGACTGCCTGAGAACTTAGAGTATTTGCTGTCAGTACTTGCACTCTTAATTTCCAATTTATTCAGACATTTGTTACCTAATAGTATGTATTCAAGTGAGTTTGCTTTTTTCCTCACGTGTGGGAGCAAATGTTGGTAAGACTTAAAAAAATAYCTTCTTCTAAATTCTTCTATAATGAACCATTACAGAAGAATGTAATTACCATTAYATGAACTTCTACTAAATTCTGCTCTAATGAACCATTTTCTGTTTCAGAAGGGGTGTGAATCATCAGTGCATTTGGTCAGGGTTTAGGGAAGTTTCATGTTCATCTTACAGATTTATTATTTAATTTYATCTATGCTTTCGCAAGTGAAAACTATTTAAATTCTTTAAAGTCTAGGTGCTACTCTTTATCCATGAAAATAGTAGCTTACATTATGGCTAAACTAAGAACAATAAATTGAACCAGAGCTAAGTGTTTCTGGGAACAATACTGTCATCTTTTCAGACAAGTTTTGTAGAGATGATGCTGCAAAGCATCAATTTTTTTAAATACTAAACAGCTGCTGTTTGCAAGTATTGGGATTTCTCAACTTGGCTACATGCTACTGCTGCAGTATCCCCTAGCCTCTTGTGCCAGTTTTTTTTTCCTCTGGTGTAGAACAAAAGTGTTACTTGCTGTTGAAATACTTTTAAAAAAAAGTTCACCTTGCGGTGAAATGTTTAGAAGTGGATTAGTAATATTTAACTCTGTAGTATCTGAAGATCATTATCGTGTAAGAACTTGAGCATATTTCAGTTTTTGCTCCCATGCATGGAGAAACTTAAGGAGATAGARGGTTAAAAATAAAAAGGGATGAATTGAGACACAGCCTTTAGAGAGATGATGGGGAAAAACAAATTGTATTGATTTTTCTTGCCTCTCCCCCTTTCTATCGAATGTCTTTTGATCAAGGACAAATAAATCTGTAAGAAAACTTGGGAAAAATTGCACAGCTGTATCTGAGTCAGTCTGAGACTGTATGAGGTACATTTTTTACAACTATGCTTCATAATTTTAAAAGATGAGGTGTGTATTGTGGTGGGAGCTCTCAAATTAACATTGATGGTCTATGTAAAGGGTTTGCATGGGTGAATGTTCAGCGGCTTTTAAAACTACCTACTCTTTCTGTAATATATTGTTACACTTTCACTGAACATTAGCAAAAGAGATTTTCTTCCCTTGCAACTCCTTTCTCCATTCTTAAAACTTMAGTTGCTAAAGGGCACTGTGATGTTGTTTTACTTTCATTGCTTTGTATTTTGATGATGATGACCACAGTGATGTGTGGAATTTATTTTCACAGCATTTCATGAACAGTGACACTTTCATTTGTTAATGTATCTCATCACTGCAATATTATTATTTTGCATAATTGTTCTAATTTATTCAAGGGGCCTGACATCTTAYGGTCTTTTAAGTATGTGCCCCTGGGACTTGAGTGTGTTGCCATATGGTGAGATAGTGCTGTATGACAACCTTTCAGCAACAGAAGAATTCAGCAGTGAAATAAATATGATAATTATAAGTGTTCAGTGAGATCCTACACTTAGCACTTTGTCTTTTTCCCCTTGGTGCCAAGGTGASTGCTTGTAGACCAACCAGGTTGAAACAGGTGATCAAGTAAAGAATCGGGTATGTTAGAAATGTGCTGATGATTTTTAGTTGTCTTGTGTGTCTAACTTCACTTTCAAGTGAGAATTCAGTTTGACTTCTGAAGTCTGTAGGGGTGTTTCTTGCTCTGAGATTGTAACTGGGCAACAGTGATTTATAGAAAAATCTAGGTTTAATGTGGGACTAAAAAAGAGTGAGTAGGAATGAGAAATTTGGAAAKATAACACTAAACAAAAAAAGAAAAAAGTTCCAGTTTAGACCTGAGTGCTAAGAAAATGTGATCATTCAGATGGAACCAAAGTGTAGGCTTTTCAGCAGCAAAACTAAAAAAAWTATTTATGGTAGCTTAAATACGTAACATGCTTTCTGTCGAGTTCTTCTTTTWCAGTGATTTACCTCCCAGGCTGGCATCCCAGTGTTTCACGGAAAATGAGTTTGAAGGTGTTACTTCTGGTTCCCAATGGAACCAGTTCAATCCAGCAAGTTTTGTTACCTTTCTGCACCCCATCCACAGTAAGTACTTGCTGTCAGTCGGTTTGCACGTATTGAATTTCCAGAGATTCTTTGTGTAGAAAGTGTAACTTTTGCTAATAAAGTCTCCTAGCAAACACCTTAGCTGTTTGCCTATACGAGGTTGTATTGTCACATATTTTTAATCTTCCTCATTTTGTAATCCTTCTCTATAGCTTTCCCAACCCTCGTCAAAGTATTTGTAAACTTAAGTAGCCATTCTCTCAGGAATTTCATGCTACTGTCTGAATCTTTGGAAGCTCATAGGCCTAGAAATGGGGAGCTTATTTTTTTGTGAGGTGCAGCTTAAACTTCCCAATAGGTATTGACTTCCCAATAGGTATTACAGCTTTGGAGAATCCTAATACAATAATTCTACTTCTTTTTTTCTCTCTTGCACACATATACACACAYTAATTTCAATTACAGCTGATGGAAGATTAATCCAGATTCTTCAGTGTGGGTGTAGATCCTTCATAGGGAGCTGAAACTCTTAAGGTTTAATATGGATGTACTTTACAATTCAAGCAAGACATTTATTTATATTAACTATTTTATATGAAAATGTGACTTAAAAGTGGTTTTGTCTGTCAAATACGTCCATGTAACATTACAGATAAAAGACCTTAGGTATCTTTATTCTCAAAACAATAGATGATCAAAAGTCAGCTGTTGATTTGGAAGAAGACAAAGTACTTAAAAAGTGATTAGCTGAGAGAGATGAAAATAAAGGAATAGATAGAACTATAAAATCATTATCAAGAAATTCACTGTAAGCTTTTCTGTTTAGAAGTCTGGTTCATATTCTTTCTGATCTGCTAGTATCTTCTGTTTTCATCTCTACAGGTGATTTATGGTTTGTCTGCTACATGAATGTTGAAGTAGGGAATAGATTTTTCAAGTAGATTTGCCTGGTATGGCCATAAATTGATACTGTAATTGTATGTATATACAGAACCTACTATAATTTTTTCTACCTTTTTTGATTATTTTTTGCTAGAAAGAGGGATCAGTAGGCCTATTTGATTTTATCCCTATTTGGTTTTCAATCTTATCACTTATTTTAATCTTTAGTGTGTTTCACAGTCTTTAACTTCAAAGTGTGATTGCAGTGATGCAGCTGCTTAATGGATTGGTACATTTAATATTTTCCCCTTAAGAGCAGTATTTCCTCTTTGCATCTATAATTGGATCATGCTGCTGCTGTCCCTGATGGAAATGCCAGGTTTCATATTCACCRTACACCTGAGCACATGCTTACTCACTTGGCAATCTTAATTTTTTTCCCTGTTTATTTATCAAAACTGAATTGCATTATGCACATTTTCTTTGTGCCTGAATTTTACTGCAGAAGAAATGAGAGGGGAAATGCCATCATGCACCTTTTGCTGTGCCGAGCTTTCAGATTCAGACTGGGCCTTTGTATCCCACCGCTGCATGTCTTCGATGTGAGATGTATCATACTTCAGAGCCCAGCTCCAGGGCTATATAAARATATCACAGATTTGGAAAGGGGGATAGATTTTGTAGCAAGCATTACTTGTTGCTGCTCTGTGCAYGTTCCTGCAGGGGTGGCCTTTATTTTCTGTACTGGTAGTGACTACAGCCAGTGCAGCTGCCATAGAACACCACGCATCTCTCACTCTGCAGGCAGGCGGAAGGTGATTAATTTTTCATTGTTGCTGCATCTGAAGGATTCCCCTTTCCCCTCCCACACTACCTTGGCCCCTTTAGGAAGATTTTTATCCATTAAACTTTCCCTTCTCTGTTGGAAGAACTAAATCTCTTTCAGCATTTTCAGGCTGGTGATCTAATTTGACAGCTCGTAGGTGATGTCTATTCCTCTTCAACGAGGCAGGTAGCCCCGGGCTAGCCAGCTGCATTGTGGATTCTGCAGATTTGGCTTGCTGTTCCTGCTGGGTGTCATCTGTCTTCTCAGTCTTGCGGTGGATAATTTTTGTCCTCCCCAGCATCATCTGCCTGAGCAGTTTCTGCCTGGCAGGCCTGTCCATCCAGGTTGAGCATCAAATACAGTGGCCGCCCGGCTAATGTGACGAGGCACTCCTCCAAAGAGCGCAGCCCCGGGCCTGCTTTGGCTAGCATCGGCATCGCAGCCCGCAAACTTCCAGCCATCACGATCGTGGTCTTGCTCTCCCATCACGGGTGCAGCCCATGGACTTATTCTGCTGGCACAAAGTATGTCCCCCGCCTCGCCCTCTTAAGGGCCGTCGCTCCGATTCCTCCCATCTGGGCAGATGTCTGCCTCAACAGGTTTGGGTTTCCCTGCCTGTTGCCGGCATTTGACTCGGACACCGCCACTTGGATGAAATAATCTTTTAGTGGATTATCATCGCCAGACAGCCTGTGGGGGAAATGACAGGACTCAGCACGTTCATCTGAAGATTTTGCAATTCAGAGTGCTGCTAATGCTAATGGGAAGTGGCAGGGTGATCCCTAAAAGAGAAAGCGGGTTCCATTGCACGGCAAAAATGACAGAGGTTGTTTAGCCTATCTTCCAAAAAAATACATGATGACTACATATGTTGATTTTCATGCTCCGAGCCATAGCTATTTCCATATTTTTGTGACTTGATGACTACTTTCTACAAACTGACAGGTTAGGGGTTCCACAAGTATTGTCTTTTTATAGCCATCACCTCTTTAAGTCCTCCTTAATTTCTTAGAAATATGTTTTGAAAATAAGCTTGACTGGGCAATGATAGTAAGCAGGGGAACAAAAAACAAAACCAGGCATAAATACAACAAATAAAACATATTCATAAAAAAAAACAAACAAACAAAAAAAAAAACAACAGTATTCAAACAAAGGAGACTGTCACAGGATTTGCCCTTGTTGCAGTCATGTAATTCTGAACCTGACATTAGTCATGATGTAAAAACTTTCCTAGAAATGCAGTAGTTACAAAGCCCCTTAACTACAGGATTTCCTCCTTAGCAAATAAAAAGCTGGAGTATAGGGCTTAGAGGGGGAAATAACTTGATGCTATGAAAGGATGGCAGCTAGGCTGGAGAGGGTAAAATTAGCATTKGAACAATTGTAGCCCAAATTATTAGTCATGATTGAGCCAGCTGGAATATCCTGCAGATATTATTAATATATGAGCACTACTGTAATGTACTGGTGATTGTCAAATGGTTACATGCTTTGGATTCAAGTGAGATAATATAAATAATAATTTATAGGCTGCAGTAGGTGTCACTTCGGGAAAAAAAAAGATAATGTAGAAGGGAATTACTTTTAAAATAATTCTTATATCTACTAATCGCCTAATTAATGCAATATTTACAGATTGTGTAACAACGAAAGAGAAAAAAACTTTTAMATTATATATTTATGCTGATTTTAATAATAATGTTAGATGAACTATTGAACACTTCCCAATGTAAGATTCATTTTATTATTTTGATGGATTCTAACTATATTTTTCCTGATTTTGGAGATTGTTTCAACAAAACCAAGTCACTTATTTTTAAGCCTGAGTTTAGAAGATTATAAATATTGTGGAAAAAAAAAAAAACCCATATAGTAATTTCAGTGAGCAGTTTCCAAGCTTGTATGATTTGATATAGAATTTAATAATAGGGTAGGACATTTTTTGTGTTGGTTCTAATGGCTTTTTTTTTCCTGAGCCACACAATTGCTTCTACTTACAAAAGCTATGCAGAGTAGAACATGGGAAAACTAACAAAGAAGTGCATAYTGCTCCTGCTTTCTACTAACAAACTAGTAATTGTTCCATCTAAATGGGCACCTTTCTGGCATTCCAGGTCAGGACACTGAAGGCTGCAGCAGCTGTAGCAGAATTTGTGGTCCAGTTTATTCTTCATTGACCATAAAATGACACTGAACAGTGTGGTATGTATTGCAGATTTAAAAAAAAAATAAGAGAAGAMACAAACTGTAGATGCAATAGCTTAAATAGAATCATGCTGTTCTAGAAATCATTGCATTTATTGAGTAGCAGGAAGAAAAAAGGCATGAACAGATGTTAATATACTGTAATTTATAAGTGGCAGGGAGGGAGGGAGGGAAGTATATTGAAAATATCCTAATGCTGCCACAGAATCACAGGATGGATCAGGTTGGAAGGGACCTCAGTGGGTCATCTGGTTCAACCTCCTTGCTCAAGCAACGTCATCCAAGAGCACATGGCACAGAAGTTCTTGAATATCTCCAGCAAGGGAAACTTCTCTCTGGGCAATCTGTTCCAGTACTCAGTCACCTGCACAGCAAAGTTCTTCCCCTGTTCAGGTGCATTCATTTCTGCCCATTGCCTCTTTTTCCTGTTGCTCGGCACCACCACCAAGAGCCTGGAAACATCCCCTTGGCACCCTCCCTTCAGATACTGATAGTCATTGATAAAGTTCCCTCTCAGTTGTTTCTTCTCAAGGCTGAACAAGCCCCGTTCCCTCAGCCTTTCATTGTAAGAAATGCTTCAGTCCCTCAATCAACTTTGTGTCTCTCCACTGGACTTGCTCCAGGAGCTCCATGTCTGTCTCTTTTATACTGAGAAGACTCTTTTGTACTCTGAAATGGTTTTAAAAGAAATATACAGGGATTTTATAATTTTTGGGTTTTTTAATAGTTGTAAAAAGAGACTGCTGGTTTTCTTGTTGGTTGCTTTTTGTTTTGTAGCTCGTGTGTCCAGCAGTTGTTATTAATGTTTGCTACACCCAGAAGCAAACTGGGTTTGCTTAACACATATCTCTTATTATAATTTCTGAATCATAGAATCAGGTTGGAAAAAACTTCTGAGATCATCGAATTCTACCTATGACCAAACAATGCTTTGTCAATTAGACCAAGTGCCATGTCCAATCTTTCCTTAAACACCTCCAGGAATGGTGACTCCACCATATCCCTGGGCAGTCCATTCCAGTGTCTAACCACTCTTTCTGTGGAGAAATTCCTCCTGATGTCCAACGTGAACTGTTAATGCCCGAAAAAGGCCTAGAAATAAAACTCCATAGACTCATGTCTATAGAGCAGGTATTTGTTTATTGCAGCGCTGGTGTAGCACTGGAGGCGAGGGGGAATATCTCCTCCTAACCCACCTGYCTTTGCTTAAAAWTGGCAGGTATTTGTACAGTAAGTATGGTGTAACGTTACCATCATCACTATGCCCACCACCATGTATGGGTACGGAAATACATGATATCACAGTTCTGCAAGTACACGTGTCATCCTCGATTCGGTGGTCATGGGAGTCTCCCACTAATGAGATACCATCCTCTTCATCATGGTGGACTTTTCACCTTTGTCTTCAGGGCATGCGCAGTTGTGATGTTCATGGTTTTTTTCTAGTCCTCCAGGTCTTTATATTTCATTTTTCAGCTGTCTTGTGCCTCTGCCAAGTTCTCATTAGTGTTYTCTACTGTTCCTCATATAGCATCTACCTGTCTACTTCTTCAGAACTTTTTCTGATTTATGCCCCTTGGTGATTTTACCTGTCAATTTACTAATCCAGCTGGCTGGATTACATCCAGCTGATACACTGTATGTTGCTAATACCCTATATAAAAACTTATAACAATATATGAAAAGGCTATTAKTGCTAATATACTGAAAGCTATTACATTKTATACTGATAMTATATAAAAAAGTTTAGAGAAAGTTTTCAATCATAGGCCTCATAAGCGCCTTGTCACTTTGACATAAACCATAGGTATCATTCCTTTTCTCCAGGCTAAGCACCCCCAGCTCCCTCAGCCGCGCCTCACAGGACAGGCCCTCCAGACCCTTGAACAGCCCCGCCGCCCTTCTCCGGACTCGCTCGCGTCTCTCCTCCYTCAACAAAAGCCCCCGGAGCCGCAGGTTCGGGAGGGCTCGGGGTTCCTTGGGGGCGGTCCCCGCTGCCGCGGCCGGCGCGCCGCGATGACCTCACGCCGAGGCAGCGGGCCCGGCGGAAGCTGTGCGGGCGGGGAAGG